TCGTATTTGGTGAATGTTGCTGAGTAAGTGAATGCATCAGGAGTGCAGGAATCCTGGTGCCGCGCCTGAGATCAGCGTTTTCGGTGAATAACGCTCTCTCTTTCCTCCTTCTTAGCTAATAACTAGCACCTCCTAAACGTCTGCTCCTGGATCGTTAGCTCTGGAGGGATTCTCACTTCCTTATTCTCTAGATGCAAAACTTGAGACCCGGAATAATTAACTCACTTGCCTGAGACGCCCGAGTCAGAGGCCGAGGCCCCAGTCTAAGCCGATGTCCCGATCTTCAAGATCTCCTTGGTCCTTGGAGTCACTTTGGTCATCGCCCTCAATGTCATGTCAAAATCATGCCGGGCAGGAATTAAGAGGAAAACGAGCAGGGGAGAGCAGATTCTCTCCAGACTTGCTTTAGACTAATTACAATAAACCCGATTCTAAACAGTCTAAAAATGATCGATGTACCGAGTCTTAACTGGCGAATGTGGAGGAACACGGAATCCAGTCCAGATAGTTTCAGCGACACTGACTGGGCCGGACCGGGCCTGGTTTTACCATCGGCTCCCTGGCTGTTTAGCAAACTGTCGCGCGCATTCGATATCTATATTTGTTAAATGATTAACTCGCATGCCTACCATGTCCCCAGAACTGTATGCTGCCTCGATTTAATCCTCACAGCAACCCCAAGGTCTTAAGCATTATGCCACGCTGATTACGACAGGTGGCTTAGTTACATTGTGGCTTATCCAAGGCAGATTTGGTTTTAAATCTATCTGTGACATTCTGCCCAACCCTTCAATGCAGCGTTCTGCATCTAGCGAACCCTTAATAATTATTAATTGATGAGGCCGCTTTCGCAGTCTGAATGCTTAAACCACGTGCCCTCTGATATGATGGGGGTCGCAGCATATTTTAATTAAATACTGACAATTTTTATTCTGATTGCTCACGCTAATACTCTTGAGCTGATAGCACCCAGCTAATGGCTTGTTCATTTCGGAAGATATTAGCAGCTGGGCGCTGCCTTTTACCCAAACATAAGATCATAATAATTAAAATCTGATATTGCTTGAAATGAATTCCTTTAAAGTAATTTATATCCCACAAACACACACAGATGCAAGCACATATATGCCAACGTTCCCGAGAATTTATGGCACCTTAGAGAAACTCTGTCCATTCCTTTCCGAAATGAAAAGTTTTCTGTTGGTATGATGAAAGACGCCTTACTCCTTTCAGGGGAATGTGTATTTCCACTGATCAATTTCTGAGTTTCCCAGGAGAGAGGAGCCACAGAGAAAGCCTGAAAACTAATGACTGTGGGAGCAGAGTGTATTGTACTTTATTGCACCAATCAGAGTCTAAACCACTGAAATCAGAGACTGAGACAAAGGAAAATTTTATTGCGTGTGTGTCAGGGGGAAGTGTGGGGGATGCAGGAGGAGGGCTGAGCAGGAGGGGGAGATGATAACTTAGTATACAAAGAGATGAAATAATTTGGAGAGAGGATCCAAGAAGGCAAATGTAATATACTGTGTTTACTCGTTGCTTCAACTTACACGGAGCTTCTATTATGCCCCGGGCATCGGAGACTCGATGGTTACAGGATCGCTCGTGCCATCCCCCCATGGGGTGCCTAGGGTGTGATTCTGAACCAGAGGTCCTCGTTTGGGCTTTGGGGGGGCTTTGAGCCGCCCTGCCCCACCACAATTATATGCAAAACCTCATGTTTATAGGTATGGGCAGGTGTGGGCAGAAATAGACTAGGACATTTGTACATTTTTTTTTCCTGAGGACAAAGTCTACAGCAGAGGTCATATTCCCTAAGCCTTCAGGGATCCCCAAAAAGATGAGTAAACACGATAGTAGAGTTTGCCTTCTCTAATCTTCCCTTGGAAAGGATGAACCAAATGAAGCCAAAACTCAAGCCAATGAGCACAGATATTTCCCTTCAGTTTTATAAAGTTAAAAAAGTATTTTCTACAAAAACCTTAAAAACAGCATGGCGACTCTTATTAATAATACTGTGCTGCATATTTGAAAGTTGCTAAGAGAGTAAATCTTAAACGTTCTCATCACAAGGAAAAAAAATCCCATAACTATGTGTGGCGACGGATGTCAACTAGACCTTGTGGCGATCATTTCGCCATATACCCAAGTATCAGATCATTATGTTGTACACCTGAAACTAATATAATGTATGTCAATTGTGCCTCGATAAAAGAGTAATGTAAAAAAACCTAAATTGGAAAAAGAAAAACCTATAAAAAGAAGAACCTTACACTCCGAACGAGATAAGGCCACCCCAAAATAGTGAATGATAGGACATAATTAATTGACGAGCTCTTGTGTATAAGTTGCCACTTATTCCATTGTATGTATACATACAATGCATGTTACTTACACATTCATATGTTGTTAGAGCTAATTAGAAGCAATAGGCCCCATTGCTTGACTCGGTGCAAAGTGTCAAGTACAGCAAGATGCACAGGTCACAGACCCATCGGAAGCTTCCTCAGCACATTTTCCTACCAGCTACGATCTTCTGAGTGTTCATTATTTGCCAAGCATTATTTCAAGAGCTGCAAGGTGTTATTGTCCACCTATTTTATAAAGAGAGCTATTATTACCAGTCGTATTACAGATGAGGAAACTGAGGCTCAGGGAGATTCAGTAACGTGTGTAAAGTTCACAGCTAGAAGTTTCCTGCTATCTCTACCTCTTTCCTTAAAAAAAAAAAAAAAAGCTGTAAATGGCAACACTTATAAAGGTGAGGTCCACGCCAGGATGTGAAAGCAACTACATAAACCCAAGATAACAAAACACCTTTCTTTCCCATGGGACTATTCATTCATTTACATAGTGTGTATGAGTCGTTTGTCTCACGGAGAGCCACGTCAGGGCCCAGCTTTTGAGCAGAATTTATCTTTAATGTTCTAGAACTAGAAGATTTGAATTGAGGTGGTGTGGGGGATAGGGGAGGGGGAGCGAGGTTGGAGAAGAGTCGGGGCTATATTAAGGAAGTGTGTTTGAGGTGAACTATACGATTTCAAAAATCTGGGTCAGCAAAGCTTGGCAAATTGAAGATTTTTCTTACCGCCTAGACTGTGTTTCCACTTTCCATGTTCCTTGCTGATGGCCATTGAAAACAACTTATTTTGACATAATTTCAGACTTAGAGTTGTAAGAATAGTACAAATACTTCGTGCATATCCTTCCTCCAGATGCCGCATCTGTTAATATCTTGCCACATTTGCTTTATCCTTTTCTCTCTCAATAAGCATTTCCATACTATTTTTTTTCATGCAGACATAATGATGTTCCTTTATCCCTTTAGAGTGTATTTCTCCTAAATGAGGAGATCCTCTTCCATAACCACAATACAATTATCAAAATTGTGAAATCATCACTGATAAAATACTATTAACTCCTCTATAGCCTTATTCAGATTTCAGCAATTGTCTCCATCATGCCAACGAGAGAGAATCCCAGGTCGTGTGTGTATTTAGCTGTCATGTCTCTTAGTCCCTTTTAATTTGGAACCGTTCCTCAGTGCTTCTCTGTCTTTCATGACACAGATGTTTTGTGAAAAAGTATAGGTCAGTTATTTATCGAGTGCCTTCAGTTCGAGTTGGCCCGATGTCCTGATCAGATTCAGGCTTTGCATTTTGGGGCAGGAATATCGCAGAAGTCATGTTACCCTCCCACTCAGTGCATCGTTTCAGGAGGCGGGCTTTGTCCTACGCTGGTGAAGTTGACCTTGGCAACACGTATAAAGGTGAGAGCCATATTAGGGTGGTGTCTGCCAGGTTTCTCCACTGTGAAGTCACTAGTCCCTTCCCCCTTTTACATTACTGAATTAAAAAAAAATATATGGTAAAATATACACAACATATAATTGATCATTTTAACCATTTTTAAGTGTCTAGTTCTGGAACATCAAGTGCATCCACATTGTCGTGCAACCATCACCACCATCTACAGAACATTTTCGTCTTCCCCAACTGAAACTCTGTACGCATTAAATACTAACTCCTCGTTCTCCCCTTCCCCCAGACCCTGGGAACCACCATTCTACTTCCTGTTTCTATGAATCTGATTACTCTAGACGTCTCACGCAATTAGAATCATACAGTATTTGTCCTTCTGTTTCTGGCTTATTTCACTAAGCGTAATGTCTTTGAGGTTCATTGACGTAGCGTGCATGTGTCAGAATTTCCTTCCTTCCTAAGGCCGAAATATTCCATTGTATGTATACATACAATGCATGTTACTTACGCAGTCATCTGACGCTGGACATTGGGCTGCCTTTGCCTTTTGTGAATAATGCTGCTATGAGCACGGGTGTGCAAATATCTGCTCTAGTTCTTGCTTTCCCTTCTCTTGGATATATACCTGGAAGTGAAATTGCTGGGTCATCATCTTCCCCTTATTAATGTTTCTTGTGGAATGATACTTTGTGACTATGTAAATATCCTGTTACTGCTCACATGTTCACCCACTAGTTTTAGCATCCCTTGATCCTATTCTATCCTATCCATTATTCTAATGTTGCCAAATGGTAATTTCCTTCCCATCAATCCTTCCGCATTTATTAGTTGGCATTCTCCTGTAAGGAAGGAATTTCCCTTATCTCCCACTTATTCACTAACATGGACTCATTTTATTCAATGGGTTATCGTTCTTTTCTCCATGGACACCTCACCGCTCTGAGCAATTCTTTTCCATATAACTCCCAAGAGCGCGTTTAGGGAGGCGCGAGAATTTTCTGTATTCCCTTGTCACCGTTAAGAAAGCCCAGCGTGCAGCCGGACCTCCCTTAATGGAAAGGATCACTTTCCGGCCCACGCGTCCGTTCAGTTAAGTCCGTTCAGTTAAAGCGCGGAAAGCCTCTTGCGATAGTGCCGCACAAACCACCTGGGCAGCCCCGCCCCAGGAAAACTACATTTCCCATAGGCCTTTGGGGGTTGCGTCATCAGCGAGCGCGGCTTTTTGGTCGGGAAACCGGCTTTGGAGAGCCGGTCGCAGCGGCGAAAACATGGCGGACGTGCTCAGTGTCGGAGTGAACCTGGAGGCCTTCGCCCACGCCATTAGTGCCATCCAGGCGCTGCGCTCCAGCGTGAGCAGGGTGTTCGACTGTCTGAAGGATGGCATGCAGAACAAGGAGACGCTGGAGGGCCGGGAGAAGGCCTTCATTGCTCACTTCCAGGACAACTTGCATTCGGTCAACCGGGACCTCAAGTAGGTACCCGCCGAAGGGGTCGGGGTCGGCCCGGCTCCCATCCTGTGCCGACCCCGCGCGAGTCTGCCCACTCGGGCGCGGTCCTCCTTTTCCATTGCTCCCTTGTTCTCTTTCTGTCCTCTCCAAGCCTCTGCCTGTCCCTCTGCCCACCTCATCCCCCACCTCCGAACAGGACCCGATCTGCCCTGCCCCAAACCCAAGTGCACCCGGTCCGATTAGCCCTAATTCCTCGCCCCTGAACCTGGAATTCGTCAAGTTCAACCCTACCCCATCCCAAGCACGACAAAACGCCTTGATCTGCCTTTCCTTCCTCCCCGTCCAAAGCCACCTGATCAGGATGGTCACTCCCACCCTCACTGCGCCTTCCTCAAGAGAGAACTAATCTCAGGCCAGCCAGTTTAATCACTTATGCCCCTCCCCCATTATTTGTGGTCCTTTGGGGTTAAGGGTTGCACATTTCTTTCTCTCGCTTGCAGGTTACTTTCTTCTATGTTACAAGTGGTGTCAGAACGAAATGGGAGGATGTGTGTAAAAGGCACATAGTAGGCACTTTTTAACTGGTTATGTTCTCGACTTGTCTCCTCTTCCTTAAGAGAGCCTGTCCTTTCTAGGGAGGTTAGAATTTCAGGATTTTTGCCTTTTATTTCTCAGAACTGACCTTAGCAAGAAAAGGCATTTGGTGAGCTAGCTATCCTATGAATTCTGAAGTGGTTGGATTTTTGTTTTTTCTTCTCAACTTGGTCTCCTCAGTAACCAGATGGAAGGAGGAGGTAGAATAGAGGAGGAGGTGGTGACCAGATGATGGGAGCCTCCTCCCCTCCCCCCAAGTAGCTGCCATTCTTTTCGGTGGAAAGCCAAGAAACCACACACCCTTCCTCAACTCCCACATCCACGTGCTGTTCTCTGGCACAGTGCCAGCTAATACTTTCCCTGCTCGAGGGATGTGGTGGTGGTTCTTTCCTCCCGTTTCCCCTCGGATTTGCTTCCCTTTGTAACGTTCAGGTTGGTACAGCCCCTCACCACTTAAGAAAGTTTCAGAACATTTACATTACCCTCTGTCTTCTTAATCTTTATACAGTAGCGCCAAGAAGGTGGCCGAGGATGCCAAAGTGAATGTGGCATGAGGAGCTGTGCCTAGGGTCTTGTGTTGGCGGGTGGGGACTCGCCACTCACGACGTGCTCCTGCAACGTGCTTCTGCTGTCGGCTCGCTTTCCCCAGCATATCTAGAGTTTTCCCACTAGACCGAAGTGCGTTCGTTCGACACAGTCCCCTCCCTGGTGTCTTCCCATTCCATTTGTTTATTTTATCCCTTCTTTGTTTCGTTAAGTTTTACCATCTGTGAAGCACCGTGTACAAGTATATCCCTATGTGAATGATAAATAATCATCATTTATTCAGGTACTTGCTGTTCCGCCAAATGTAATGATCTGTACGTGGTTCTGAAAACTCTTGGTGAGAAGCAGCATTGTACCCCGTTTCAAAATTCCAGGTGCTCTCCAAGTCTCCTCTCTTGCAGAGATAATGCAAGTTGTTAATTATGCAATTTGAGGAGTCTTATTGATTCTAGTGCCTTAAACTTTTTATTTTCTCCTTTGGAATGGCACCAGAGAACTGGTTTTAAATCATATAAGCGCCCAATTAGAGATGTTCTTATTTGTCACTAATCTCTTTCACCTTTCAGAAAAGTACTTCTCCCTAAGGGACTTCTGACGGACAGCTTGAAGAGCAGTCTTCGACCAACAGGGCTGGCTAAACACTGGAGTTTCAGCGAACTCAGGTTTATTTGCTTTATCTATTTACTTTTCAGTGAGCTCGAACGCCTGAGCAATTTGGTGGGCAAGCCATCTGAGAACCATCCTCTGCATAACAGCGGCCTGTTAAGCCTGGATCCTGTGCAGGACAAAACTCCTCTCTATAGTCAACTCCTTCAAGCGTATAAGTGGTCGAACAAGGTAAGAGCGATGTGTCCGAAGTGGAGCTGACTTAGGGAAAGCCGCATTTTTTTATACTGCATAGGCGAGGGTGAATTATTGTCTTTTTGTTCTCGATTCAGCATGGGCTTCCAGAGTTGGAAGTTTCCGAATTTCCCTAGGAGCTGTTGTGTAGTTCTTAAAGTCTGGGGCTTATTCGTGATGCTCAGGTAGTTAAATCAAGAAAATCCAAGTCAAGTGTATTTAACCTGGAGTCTGGCTATAGAAAGCAGCTTTGATGAACCCCTTGAAATTATATGTGCATTTTTTTATGGGGAAGACAGGAAGCTTCTTCACATTCTCAGATGAGGCCATGACCCCCAGAAGGGTAAGGACTGGTGGAATAAAGCAGGGGTCTCCAGCCCCCGGGCTGTGGACTGGTACTGGTCTATGGCCTACTAGGTACTGGGTCGCACGGCAGGAGGTGAGCGGCGGACGAGTGGGCGAAGCTTCATCTGTATTTGCAGCCGCTCCCTAGCGCTGGCACCGCCACCTCAGCTCCACCTCAGACCATCAGATGTTAGATTCTCATGGGAGCACCGGTCCCTGGTGCCATAAAGGTTGGGGACCGCTGCTCTAAAGGTTCAGCCACTCACGTTGTTTCTGTTGCTTGTACTGTCTTTTCCCCTGTCGTCGATGGAGGAACATCACTAGAGGTCTGTTTGTTAGATTACTCTTTAATTACTTTAGACCCTGTCCGAGGGAGATTGTTCTAAACTGGTTTTAAATAGGATTTGCTATTCATGGTTCCCGTCTGCAAGCAGGCCCGTAGCACAGACCCTAGGACAGCTATAAAAGGAGGACTAGATCGTAGTCTAAAAATAACAGGAAGAACTAGGCTCATGAGCCTGGAAACGGTTTATTGACAAGCTTCTTTTGTTTGGGAGCTGTGGGCTGTGTATTTTTCTTTTCCCTGCTGATAGAGAACTAGAACGTATATGTGGACTGATTTTGGAAGCGTTTCTCATTAGTCTGTGCTGCCGGCCTGGGGGCAGTTGTTCTTACTGTCACTGGTCCAGAACTGCCCTGCCCCCTCCAGTTATCCACTGCTTTCCCTCCTTTCTGTGGTCCTTTCACCCTCAGATGAGCCTGGACAGTGTTTCAGGTGTGTGGAATTTTTTCTTTGACTTTCTCCGCGGGGGCTACTTAGTATTCTTAGGTTTGGGGTAGAACACCGGAAGCTGAATCTGAGGGATCAGGGAGAAGTGATTGACCATGAAGTGCTAAAGAAAGAACTTGAGCCTCAGACATTTAGCCTGTAAGGCTTGTCCCCAAACTCTGGGCTGGGCTGTCAGACAGAAACTCAGTTTGGCCTTGAGGATCAGGGTGCCCAGGTAGTGTGGGGATCTGTCGCTCTCTTGCCGTCTCCAAGCCTGCTCTCCTGTGTTGGCCTGATGCTCTCCAGGTGGTGGAAAGAACAGCCTGGCAGTTGTAAGTGTGTGCAGTCCCTATACCAGGTGATTTCTGGTCTCCACGTCAGACCCTGGAAAGGGATTCTGGGCCTGCTGGGTAGGTGGCCCTCGAGGCAGTTTATTAAGTCCAGGGGGTGAGATTCTCTGATTAGCCAACACGGATCACCTGGAGCACAGGAAGTAGGGCTCCTTGGAGATGAGAGAGGCAGTTCCCTAAAGGTGGGGATGCAGGGCGGACAAAAAATGATGTATATCTGTCGCAGTTGCCAAGGCTGGACACGAGACGGTCCCAGGCCTACATAGATAACAGCGCCCTCTCAGGCTGTCCCGTTTGTGGTCCGTGTTTTCCCAGCAGTGCTCTTGGTCATCCTGACGTGAGCTTGCCTGGTGCTCAGGTGGGAGGTGGTCAGTAGGTGCACGGTGCGATTCATTTCTCCTTGTCAAGACTCCTAGTCCTGCTTGTTGGTTCGACGTGAAAGCTGCATTGATGTGTCACGTGGATACACTTGTTCTAGAATAGGCTAGAGCAAGGGGCGCTTTTCAGTGTTGGGAAGATTTGGGCTGATCTCAGAACCATGTGTGAAGGGGACTCTGGGGTAGGTGACTGGTTTTAAATCGAAGTGGTGATACTTAGCTTTGGAACGAAGGCAGTTTAATTGCTGGATTTAGTAGTTGGAGTATTAAAACAGAAGTTCCTGCCCCTGACCCCACCCTTGCCCCCAGGTGGAAAAGGAGCCATATTAAGGGAATTAAGTATACAGAACTTGTCCTGGTGATGCTGCAGGTTAAAAATAGACGTGGAAATGTATCAGATTGTAAATCCCATACGAGCAGTGAGCAGTGCGAGAGATGTCAGGGTTTCAGTCACGTCCTGTAGAGTGACTCTGTAAAGTAACTGCTCTTCCGCCAGCTCCCTAGTGCCCCAGCAGAGAGGGGATTTGGGGCTGCTTGTGACACTGATTACTAGAAACGAAGAGAGCGGTTAAGAGCTCTTTAGTTCAGCCCCTTACCTTACAGCTGAGCAAACCCAGGCTCAGTGGACCGACCTGCTCCTGGCTCTGTAGCTAAGCTGGAATTTGCATTTCCTGACTTAGGTAGGTAAGTGTTCTTTCCTCTAAAATCTGATGTTTAATCTAGTTGGCTTCAGGTTTTTGACTATAGAAATCATTCTCCCCTCCTTTAACTTACGTGCTGGAAACAATTCATGTGTTATATTTTATTCATGAATCTCTGTACACATTTTACTAATTTTTAATGGTTTATGGAAGGACAGAGATGGCAAATGCATGGTACAGGGGTCCTGAAACTGTCGCTTTTGTCCAGGACAGATCACTAATC